CTTGAACAAAGTAGACAATTTGTCAGAAACATTGTAGACCCAGCAAATTGATTCATTGCTTATTTATTTATTTTTATTTTTATTTATTTTTCTTCTTGATTAGTTTCAATTTCCTCTTATAAGCTTACTAAAGAATTTGAAAATTATTCATCTCCACAGTAACAGGCTGTAAACTGATAAACTGATGAGGTTGAAAAATCATGATTCTCATAAGACGAAACAAAGAAAAACATTTGTTTCCACAGCCAGGTTTCATGTGAACCTAAGTGACAATCGTTTTTATTTGTACACTATATATAAATGTACTAAGATACCTTTATGCTTTTCAATAATCAATGTATTAATTCTAAGAAGATTTGGCAAATAAATATTACTATTATTATTATATCAAGAACATTGGTCTCTGAAAATAGCTTGTCACTGGGATATCTAATGTTCTTCTTCAACATTATTCTCAGAATCCATTTTTGTATGATACTCAAATTATGTATAATATTTTCTGTTACACCTTCTCAACTTAAGATTCCGTAAGAAACCTGAGATTGCACAAGTGCAGAGTACAGTTTTTTTTAAAGTTTTTCGTATCCAAGAATTCCACTAAGTACTTGAATTTTGTGATTTGTTCATAAAAAACATTTTCATCTTCTTTATTTATTCCTATCAAATCAAAAATCTTGAAATATAACATATAAGAAAAATAACTCCAAATCAAACATTTCCCAATTGGCTCTTATACAAGCAATTATATTTTTTATCAGTATAGTATGAGCTCGTTTCAAAAGTTTTGTCCGTTTCAATGTCATGTGTATTTGTAGCTCCATATCTCAATACATTGATGCTTATCATTTTTTCGGGATTTTAATTCTTTGTGTCCTTAAAACTTTTCACTATATGACATCGTCAAGGGATTTTCTGCCAAATTTTCTGTACGAAGTCAAATTGAACCGGTAGTACCTTCGCCAATCAAGACCAGATAGAAACGGCCTTTGTTGGCTTCATCGAATCTCGAGTACCTAATTTGATAGTGACGGAATTATTTGATTTGTGTTACGTTTGCAAAAGTGCACAAATACAAATTATTATTCAAATGAAATATTACAGTTTAAAGTAGACTCATAAAAACCGATCAAACTTCTGAAACAACCTAATATTTAAACCAATCCACTTATTTCTTTCAACTGAATATGGCACATTAGATTGAAACACAAAAAATTGACATCTTGATGATGGTTTAATAAGATTAAACAAAAACGCATACATCATGCAACAAATGAAACGAAACGAATCAGAATTCTAATGATCGCAATATAATAGTGCTTCACCATATTTCCTAATTCAATTCCAAACTTTTTAAAAACGCATACATCATGCAACAAATAAAACGAAA